AATCATGTTTGCACGCCTACCAGTGCTAACATTGCATGGCACCCGGCGGCACCCTTGGAAGGATCTCAAGGCACCCCAGTGTACCCCGGCACCCTGGTTGAGGATCACTGCAGTAAATCCTAAATCCTCATAGCATCCCAGAGGGTGCTTAAGAAGCAGGTGGAGGAAGATTGTCCATTTTATCGATACTGGCTGCTGACAGACATGGAGGGAGAAAAAAAAATCGCACTTTACCGGAATTGGCGGCACATTAATTGGACCCGGCTCTGCAGTGTCTGTATAGATCAGGCACTTCAGTGGGGCTTTTGGCAGTTTTTATCTAAAGCCGATTCAATCAGCTATTATATAAAAGCACCAAAAAAGCCTCACTAAAGCACCTGATGTTGGGCAAACCAGGTCCAACCAGCATGCTGCCTCTTCTGGGCATGCACTGGGCTCAGCACAGGGCCCCGCCAAGTTTAAAGTGAAGCACAATTGGGTGCGGGGAAAAGAGGGGGGTTATATCTGTAAGCAGCCAACATTGCCGAGGCACAGGTAGGTGAAGCGATTTGCTCCAGATCACACAGGGAGGCAGTAGTGGAGCAGGTTTAAGATGTGGGTGTCTTCCTCTCGCCCACATGTTCATTCTCCCAGTGCACATTGTTTTCTAGTCATTGTCCTTGGAAAGCTGCTGCTGCAGAGTTGATCAGGATCCAGACTGAGCCCTGCTTTGTTTTGTCTTTGGCATGTTTGACAGCTCTAGTTAATCCCATCCTTTGTGAGTGCAGCGAGCCTCAGGCTGATAGGTTTGAATAAAGGTCATTAAAAAGGCTCCTGCTGCCGTGCCTGCAAGCTGGCACCAGAGGGAGCAAGAACACCAGAGATAGATAGAGACCTTGGCAATGAATTTCCAGAGTGACATGGATAACAGTATTTGCCTATTGCCGGCTACTGCCGAGCCTATCAATATATGCCAGACTTGTTCAATGCCCCTATTATTTGGACATTTCAGATGTGTTACCATCTGTCTGTCAGGCTCCTTCCTCCAGCAGACTCAGTGACTTAACTCCCTTCTCACACACACACTCACATATACACTGCGTGCATCTACACATTCATTAATCTGCCATAGTTACTGTGCATTAGGTTTAGTACTTGGATAACCAAGTACCAAATCAATGCATAGTAACTCTCGGTACTGCGCAGTAGCACTAGCGCATGGGTTTTTACAGATACTAACCGTGCAGCAGTCTAATACTACTGTGCTGTAGCGTATTAGCACGGGTTTTCCCCAGCACACTACTGCACAGTGTTATTAAGCACAGTGTCGATGTACCCACTGTCATGCTAATACAGATACGAACATTATCTGTAGGCTACTGCTAATTAGCCATGTGCTAATAGAGACACAAACAGTAAATATCCCTCTCGCATGATAGAGGACAAGTATCAAAATCTGGGTTCTCACCCTAAGGTGGGGCCAAAAAACAACGAAGTCCATGAGAAATAGTTTCAAAACTACCCTTGTTTGACCACCCAAACCTTGCAGCCTAGTTAAAGAAAAGTGAAAGCAGCCGAGTCTGGGAGAGCAGCATGAGAAGGCATTCGTAGGAGCCAAAACACAGCATTGGAAAAGAGCTGTAGGTAGCTTATCTACTGGGTAGAGCACTGACCTGGGTTCACAGAGTCTTAGAAAAGAAAGACTAGAAGAGACCACGGGAGATCATCTAATCCAATCCCCGGCTCAAGGCAGGATCATCCCTATCCCAACCATCCCACTCCAACAGTTGTTAACCTGTTCCTAAAACTTCACAAACCCTGTCAAAAAACTACAAAGTAGATTGCCCCAAAGCAACACAAATGTCCTAACCTGCCACAGATGAGGCAGGGGGATGCAGGCTCTATCAATGGCCTGACACCTTGGTCTGCACAAAAGGTTGTAACCATTACATGGGCAAATCTACGGGCATTTTTTACACATGCAAGCGCCGCAGCGCCAAGTGCTTTGAAAAGCACCCAGCGCTGCATCCTAAGAAGTGCTTTAGTTTAAAACACCTAAGAGGTGCTTTAGTTTAAAAGTGCACCACCACCATTTTCTGCGCACTGACATGCATTTCGCCGCTTATACAACTGCACGCAGCGCAGCGCAATTCACCTCAGCCCACACGCAGAGCAGACCCGATTAATCGAGTCTGCTCCAAAGCAGTGGATCTCTGATGTGTCGCAGGGAAAAAAGTATGTGTATAAATGCCCTGCTTGTGCATTAATGCACTCTAGTTAATGTGCATTAAATCTAGAGCCTCCATTGTGAGGTACTAGGAAAATGCCCATTAGCCTCTCTTAATGTGCATTAACTAAGAGTGTGGTTTTAAAGTGACACTTAAGGTGCATTAGACTATTTTAATGTGCATTAGCTAAATAACATGGGGGGTTAGTGATGCTTTAATGCACGTTAAAATAGGCTAATGTGCATGAAAGCGCATGTGTAGACACACCCTAGTTCAGTTAAATTGGTTCCATCTTGTGTGTCAACATTCGTAGAGAAAATTTAACCTGGCTTCTCTCCATTTAGATTTCCTAGGAAAATTTGCCTGTTTTAACCCACTAAAAGCATCCCCCTCCCAGAAGGCTGTACTGCTTTAACTAAACCAGTTTTCATTTTCACCAGTGCAAATTTTTTAGCAGAAAAGTTCCTGGGCTCTGTCGTGCCACTGACATGCTGCCAGATGTGGAAACTCTGCTCTCCCATTAGTGAAGGTCATGCTTTATCTGGAATTTATGAGGCTTTGTTAACCGATCGTGGGGAAGAGCTTTGAGACGCTTGTGTGGAAGGGCTACCGGTGTGAATAGCTGCCCTTTCCCCCATGCAGCCTCTGTACAGGACTTGCCAGAAAACAGATCAGTACAAATGGGAAGACAATGGCACCTCACTGGGCCTGCCTTGAATAGTCTCATCTATCTTAGCAAATAAATGCCATCCTATGCCCCACCTCTCTCCCCTGAATGGCCCGACAAGAGTCCCACAGAGAGGATCTTGTACAGGCCAATGGATGAATTGCACCTTATCATACAGGCTTTATTCTATGGCTGGCCAATAGAAATGTTCCAGCTTGTCCGTTTCCCCCGGACGGACACATATAGCGCAATATATTTTCCATGAACAGATGGATCTGAGTACATTGCACATCCAGGCATTGTGATGTATGAGGCTGTACAGCCAGAATTAGGATCTTAATGGTCTGATGACCCTGCTTGGAATGAAGCCTGTTCCTCACCTGCTTATTACAAGCCATGCTGCTGTGCGGACCATGTTTCCTATGGACTTCCTTATCTTTGTCCTTGACCACATGGGAAATGATAAGAAGGATGAATGGATGTTGCCTGCAGGATACACTGACGAGGAGTGATTTAAATCCCAACTTTTTGGAATCAGCCCGCTCCCTTTCATCTGAGATTCCAAATATTTTTGCTTTTGAGTCTGTTTTTTGTAGATGAAGCCCTGTTTCGTACCAGGTTTCAGCCCACATCACGTTTTTATAGCTGGCTTGAAAACCCTGGAGTAGAGATTTGCTTTTCAAGCTCTTCAAAACTCCAGAGTGACTTGGCTCCATTGACTTTAAAGAGATTCTACTTGTGATAGTTTAATAGTGACACTTTTCTCTTTGAGGCCCAGAGCATAACTCCTAGGTTAGATAAAGAAGCTTGAAAGAAAAAATAATTTGCTACATTCTGCCTGTGGGTATATACCCTCTCTTCCAAAGCTGCACCACTTTGGGCTGAAACTCATCTGTTGTTGCTCTGTTTGTGGAGCAAACTACCCTGCTAATAAGTTTTGGGGCATTACTGGGCTCAGGGAAGGTAGACATTGCAATCTGGAGATCCACTGACTAAAGCAAATAAGGCATAGTGCATTTCAGGCCTGAGCATTTAAGCTGGAGTGGGTGCATCTACATATGCGTATTAATGCTGTGCAATAAACTCCGGTGCACATCGCAACACAGTTTATTGTTCCTGGGCACTATGCTTACACATGCACCCAGAACCACAGCACATTGAGCCAAGTCGTAGCAGCCCCAGCTGTCAGGGGGCCTAGGAGGTCAGCCTACCAGCCCTGGGCTGCTCCACGCCAGCTCAAAATGCTGCAAAGGTGCTCATTGGGGCACCAGGATACTTTAGTGCGAGGCTAGCCAGCAGGCAGCCCCCCACACTGAAGCACCCTCATGCCTATTTACAAGTATTACCTTGCCATGGAGTCTATTAGTTTACTCCAGACTAGGAGCCCTGCACGTGCAGACAAGGAGACATTTACTGCAGAGCTAATTAGTCTACTCCGCAGTAAACGTTGCATGTAGACATGCCCAGTCACAGCACCGTCCTAGCTGACAATCTGAGGACTTCCAAAGTGTGAGCTGCTCCAGTGAATGTGTCCAGAGAATCTCCTACCCATCAGGCACAGAGATGGACCCTGTGTCACACAGGCATTGCACAAGCAGAGGTATTGCCAAGTATGAGAAAACTTCCAGGGAGTTTTACTGATGCTATGTAGATCCAAGAATGAAGGCAAGAAAAGCATTGATTTGGGATAAAAGGGTGGGAGAGGAGTTAAGATACAGGTTGAACTGAGGAAGCAGTGAGAAATGAACTCAACACTTCAAAAACCTTTAAGCATATCATGCCTCATTCTGATCAAGCATCCCAAATTCTTAAAGTCTAATAACAAATGTAAATGTTATACATTGCACATGCTCATTTACCAAGAGAGTTGAATTCATGCAAGCAACCTGTGCCTGCTCTTCTGACATACTTGTGCCTTTATGGACCAGACTGAGACACCCTGATCCATAGTGATGCCCCCGTGACTTTAGTGGATCACAGTTCAGTGTAAATAAGATTGCCCTAATACATCTGTAACTATAGAAGACATTTTCCAGTGTACGAGAGAACAGGTTGAAAAGAAAATAATATGCGCATAAAGTCTGAGAGTTGCGATCCATTCTTGCTTTCCCTCAATTTTTGCAAAGATGGAGGGCCGAGAGATGGTTATAATTGAAAACTGCGGAGAGAGGCACGTATACAAAGAACAGAGCACAAGAACCCAGCGCCCAACACAGAGCAGCGGGAAAGGGATCTGCAACATCCTTGAATACCTAACTGGAGAAATGAAAGAATATGGAGCCTGGTTGAAAGGTAAATTATTTGCATATGTGAAGAGCACCATGGGTAAAAAGTAGTTCAACATCCATATGTTTGTCGGTGTTATCTGTGCATCTATAGTGGACCTTAAACCATCTAACTCCCAGACATGCACACCCAAATCGTAAAGATCTGGACCAAAATTGGCATGCCCACCATTTACAGGAACAAATTTTTAACCTAAGCTTTTTAGTTTTAGGGACTGATAATGTACTATCTTGCTGCTGCCACAACATGCAAAATATCATGTATGTACCCAAGAAGCCCTGGCTTGTTACTGTTATTTATATTAGAGCAGAGCCAAGAAGGAACCAAGTTAAATCATTAGCTTTTGGGGACAAAGACTTGACTTTTCATGTAGGTGTGGATACAGAGCCCATAGCAATGGAGTTGGGTCCTGATTGGCACAGGTAGGAGATATTACCCTATCAGGTATTTATAAACAATGCAAATTGTGGCGAAGATTGTGCTGGCATGAATTAAAAGGCAAGGACCTGTTCCAAAGGGTCTACCACCCCTCAAGGGACAGGACAGGGATCGTAGGAGTGAAATACAATAAGAGAAGTTAGTAGAAAACTATAGCAGTGTGACTAGGACTGTGCAATTTATGCTAGGTTCATGAACAGCGTGGATGCTCCACAGCATTTCTTTATTGATTTATTTTTTTTAATAAGTGAATGAACAGGATTAACTGATCAGCCACTTGGCAGGTGCAGTCACTGCAATCCTGTATGCGAACGAAGGTGTTTCCTGTGAAACTCTTCTTGCATGCTCAGGCCCGCTGTGAATTAATATTAAACATTGGTGCGACTGGGACTGCACTTCGGTGTCTGACTTCTCCTTTTGGAAGTGTGATGCCAAAGGACTTTGTGGGACAAGCTGCAGTAGGACAGAAACATCAGCACTAGAGGTTCATTGCAGCACTGCTTGTAAGGATCCCTAGAGCATGGCTGCACCATTGAGGACCGGATTTCTAAAGGTATTTAAGCAATTAATTCCCACTGAAATCAGTAGGAACTAAATGCCTTTGTACCTGCACAAATCTGGCTGTAGGTACCTAACTTTCACTGATTACTGTAGGTACTGATCTGCCTCTTCAGGCATCTGAACCCCCTTAAAATCCTCCCTGACTGTATCTCAATGTTCTGTCTCCATTTTTAACATGGCACAAGATAAGTTTCCTTATCATGTTTCTCCTCTGTCCATAAGATAGTTGCAGCCTTGCGTAAATCCCATCCTGCAGCTGGATCATGCACTGAAGTAGTTTAGCTTTCTCGTTAAATTTATGGCAGAATCTTATGCAATCTGCCATGCAAGAAAGACTATTTTTGACGATCATAAATACACCAATTTCTATTAATCCAGCCAAGTGCTTTATAGTAGCGAACCTTACCAACAAGCTTTTCATGTGCCAGATGCAAAGCTTGTTCAGACAGTAATAAATCAGGGACCAATTTTATAGTCTTGTTGATACATTGCCTCCATTCTGTAGCCGGCAGTTACTGCAAAGCTGAGTGTGGTTCAAGAAAGCCATACTGAAATGATGTCTTACTCCCAGAATTTTTTATTTGATCTCTTTCAGATAAACCTCTCGTGGTTCAGTTTATAGACTGGGTCCTGAGATGATGTTTGTCAATACCCCTTTCAGTAGTCTTATTATTATAGTTGGACTTTTGATCCAAAATCCCTGGCAGACACTCACCGGCTGCTTAGGAACAACTGTCTCAGCATTAACAGCACTTATTCTGGGTCAAGACAGGTAAGCTGGTCCTTTGTGTATGGATGCAGCACATAAATTGGTCATTAACTGTTCAATTGTTGCAATACCAATTAGCGGTATTATGAATGGATATGCTCTTTAGTTCACTTTTTTCCTCCCACCTTGGTTATTACATTACCAACTACAAAGAGACATCACGTTTTTCTCAAAATAGACAATTTTATCCTGGGACACAAGTGTGATCATTCAGATGTCCATATCCTCTGTCCCAGAACAAACCCTGAAAAGGTTCTCATGATAATAACTATTAACAATTTACCCCAGGACATCACAAAGTGAGCCTGAATGGTTATCCCAGGACTGCACTATTGAATCATTGATGGAAGGGCAGCTGCTCACTGGACCATAACTAGAGTGATGTGTCTACATGCCAATCCTGGGATATTTCTATTCTTGGACAAACTCAGGCACAACTTGTCTAAAGACAAATACACTGTCTGTTCCTAGCCACAGATTTTCATGCAACCTCTAATCCAGAAGTCACATAATCTAGTCTGCTATAAATGCTAGGCCCCATTCTGCCACTGTCTTGCCAGGTGTCCTTACACAAGTTGTTCACCTTTTCATATCCAGAATTCCTTATCTTTCCCCATCAGGTGATTTAAATGTGGGTCTCCCATATCCTAGAAGAGTATTTTAGCCACCGGGCCATTGTATGGCCATCCCACTACCTCCTGCCAGCTTGGGGATGGGGAGAATGGATGTGCTCAGAGCACGTCTACCAGTTCAAGAGATACGGGCACCAGAATGCCTATGTCTTCATGGCTCCTAAGAGGAGGTAGGCACTGTCAGAAATTGTGCGAATGCAAGAGCAGAAATTTAGGCACCTACAAGGCAAGAACATTTCAGTATCAATGGTGCTTCAATGTTGGGCTTGAGTGCCTCAAAAGGTAAATAGGTCCCTAAGGGCCTTGTTACACAAGACACTTAGTACATTTGAATTGGCTGCAGTGTGAGGACAGGGCTGGGACCGACAACCAGATGATTGTCAGGCCCAGCCCTAGGACCCTTTGGTGCTATGGACACCCAACTCTCAACTTGATCCTGGAGGAACCTAACAAGTGTAAGATCCAGGATCCTTCCTCCTGACATGTGTGGCTTTCCTCATCCTACCCAGAGGCTTGATCGAGCAGAGAAGTCCCTAGTTGATGTCACAGCTAGGTGAGGCCCAGAGCTTGCTCACATTATCTCTGTGGACAACTGCTGAACACACCTTACTTAATCTGGGATGCTTCTTCCATGAAAAGTTACAGTTTTGCTATGATACATGCACATCTAGCACATGTTTTACTCCTTAAACACATGGGCGCTCACATTTTAAGCACACTTAACACGTGCTAAGTGTAACGTGCGACGTAGGTCTGTCTCCCCCCATAAATCTTGTTTGAAGGATTTGCTCAAAGAATGGAGGACAGAGCAAATAACTGCGCCTTAGCCTTGATCATGACTGCCTTCCCTGACAAGGGAGACTATTATTGGTGGCTTCTTTTCCCTGTTGTTGTTACATCCATGGTTTGGTAAGTCACACTTATTTTCTATAAGCAAAAATAAATGTTTCTAGTTCTTCCTGTCATACATGACTTATCTTCAGTGAGTGAAAAACATTTATTGATGCCAGTGGGAATTATGCTTACAGACAAAGCATGTTGCAGATTCTTCTGCTAAATCCCTACATTTGCAATGTAAGTTATACTAAGTATTCTCCTTTTTTTTTTTTCCCCCCCTAAAACAGTGGTTTTCAATCTGTGGTCATGGACCCCTAGGGGTCCACAGTCTAAGGGGTCTGCAAAAGATGGCTATGATCCATTAAAAGTATATGAATGAACACACTTACAATCCAAAGGGGTCCACACCTCTATTCAAAATTTCCAAAGGGGTCTGCAAATGAAAATAGGTTGAAACCACTGCCCTAAAATGTAGGCTATGAAACAGTTCCTGTATTCTACCTGTTTCACAGTCATCTGTGTATGTCCATAGCTTGGAAAATGCCTTCAAGTCCTTTATACTGATACAGGAACAAGTATTAGCAGATATATAAACTGAAAATAGCTTCTCTGACTCACAACTTTTGCAAATGCCTGTGGTCAATAAGCTACATTCAATCTGGGCCTAATCATGGCCACCATTAAAAGTGTCCATGCACTTACAGCAAGATCACTTCCAACCCAGTGATCTGCTGAATCTGATCTT